ATAGAACTAAAACGTTCAAATGGTTGAAGCTTGTTTCCAACTTGTGTGATTCAGCAGCACTTTCACCTTTCAGTCAGAAGGTTGGTTGTGGGTTCAAGCCCCACCTTGGAAATGGAGCTCGCAGTCCTGTGCTCTCCTGGGAAAGCTGCATTGTCACAGGTGCTGTTCAGGTGAGAGGCTAAATCTGCGTCCTGTCTGCTTATTCTTAACTACATTAAAGATCCACCGAGGAGAAGGACATTCACCTCATGCCTATTTGTGAGGTTTTGCTGTGTCAAAATTCCTGCCATATTTGCTTACAAAAAGCCATCACTACACTTGACAATAACTGGAATGTGTTCTGCCATGTTTTGTTAGAAAGGCACTATAAAAATGATTTTAAAAAAGTCTTCTTCAGAGAAGGTGGTAAATAAAACAGTAAAGACTGAATGATGAGTTTGCAACGCACAGCTGACAGATATGGTAAAATTACAGCCTGGAAATGCTTTCAAGACTCATTTGACAAGACTTGCTGTTACCAGGCTTACAAACATGCCAAACATAGCTGACATTATAAAAGGTTTAAACATAAAAAATACAAAAGAACCCGTATTCTTATAGTAAGTCCATGGATAATACTATCTTAGAAAGCATGTCCGAGATCCTCACCTTCAAATCTCACCATGGCCTTGCCCAACTTTACCTCTGCAAATTGTGACTCTACTGGCCTGCTTGGCTTCAATCCCCCCATTCCCCAATTGTCCCCTCTACCCACCCCTCTCCCGTATGCCTCACATCACACCACATCATCAAGCAAGCGGCCAGTCCTTCTGCAACCACTCTATGGTTTTCCATCCCAGGGTCCCTCTCGGTCTCTCTCTCTCCCATTCCGCCTTCAAAACCCCCTCAAAACCTTTCTCTGCAACTGCACTTTTGGCCACCTTTCCTATTCCCTCCCCGGATCTTCTCCGCCCTTTCCAGCTCAGGCTCTCAGTTGTGTGAACGCTTCAATTAGTAACAACATGTCCTCCCAACAGGAAAGTGGAATGTAAATAACAATCCTTACATTTTATTATTAATAATAATATTCCTTACATTTGGTATCGCGCCTTTCACATCAGGAGAACAGTGCTTCACATAATATTTTGTAAAGTGCAGTGACTGTATATTTGTGCACAGTAGTGTCCCACAATCAGGCATGGAGTGAATGACCAATATTATTTGGGGGCTTGGTGGTCAGGACACCGGGAGAATTTCTTTTCTGTTTTCGAACAGTGCCATGGGATCTTTACCATCCATCTGAACAAGCAGACTGCATTGGAGTATCAGCTTAGACTATGAGTTCCAAGTCCCAAAGCAGAGCTTGAATCCACAGCCTTCTGACTCAGAGGGAGTGTGCTACCAACTGAGCCAGACTGAATGGGGGAGGGGGGGGAAACTATCCGTAAAAACATGAATTAACCCGAAGTTTTCCAATGCAGCACAGACTTTACTTAACATGTCAGAACAAAGCAACAGACTTAATGAGTAAACATTCAGTCACTCAGTGATGAACAACCTAATCCTGGGAATGTGTTTCCTCACAATGTTTAACTTCAACCCTTCACAAGGTAGACTTACAATTTATGGCAGCTGAATAATTCATGGGGGAGCGGGAGAAACTGAAGGACTGAAAATGTATTTTTATTTAGAGTATATCTCCCAGCCATGAATAAATTTGTTTTTCAGTCTATAATTTGTATGATTTATTCAGCTGCAGGGACGTAGAAATTTTCCAATTCCGATTCAATTCCAATTCAGGTGCTTGAATTACTCCAAAGAACCAAAAGCAATAGTTTAAGAATTTGTCAGAAAGATGTGGGCAGGACAGTATTTCAGACTGGCAAGACATTAAACAGGGTTACTCCAGTTGGTTTGGTGCATGGCTCAACAGCTGGTTTTAGGCAGCTCATTGGCCCAAGAAACCGCTCGAGAATCTTCTCAGTTAGGACGTCCCATAAGTTGTGACAAGGCCCTCTCCCCTCAACTATAAAGGAATGAATAATGAAAGGTACCTGAGAGGCATCCCAGAGGTATATAAATACACAGAGAAAACAAACCATGAACAATATGTTCAGGTGTGCCAAATTAAAAGCATTGAAGACGTGTTGAGCAGTGGTGATTTCATGTCATCTCACAGGTTTAGAGCTGTGAAAAGTACATTTAGGGCAGCCACGAGGAAGTAGTTCTTTAAGTAAGGTGCAGTAGAGCTAGAACAGGTGACTAGGAAGAGTAATATCTAACAATGTTGTAATGGAGATATTTGGAAGAGGAGAGATCATATGGCCCAAAGATCCACCTTGGACATAACTTGATATCCAAGGTCAGCTTTCAATTGTCCTTTTAAAAGTGTCCAAACCAATATCAGTTTTAAGGCATCTTCTTCAGAATTTTAGGAACATAGGAACAAAAGTAGATTATTTGACCTATTGAGCTTTTATTTTTTTTAAGATCATACCACATCTTTTAATCCCATATCCTTGGCTCTTGTGTCAACACAAGCATGTTCTCATTCAAGTGAAAAGCGTTAATCAACACGTCAACATAGTCATATAAAAGGAGCAACTAGATACCTACGGACTAGAGTTTCACATTTATGGAAACTGTAGTGAACAAGGAGTTTTTGCAACAGGAATGGAAGCAAACTTTTAACAAAATAGTTTAATTTGACATGTTACTCAGAAGAACAGGATTTTAATTAAATAACAACAACAACAACAAGATTCCATTTATAAAGCGCCTTTCACGTCAGGAGGACGTCCCAAGGCGCTGCACAGTTGGGTCATGATCCGAGCAGGGGGGAAATGGTCAGGGTGAGGGAAGGGAGGGAGCGAGGAGGGGGAAGAGAGTCGAGAGGGGAGCTGAAGGCTCGGTCAAAGAGAAAGGTTTTGAGACCGGCCTTGAAGGAGGAGAGGGAGGAAGCGGCGAAGGCACTGGGGGATGGAGTTCCAGAACCTAGGGGCTGAGAGGCTGAAGGCCCGACCACCGATGGTAGGGCGGTTGGGGCGGGGGACGTGGAGCAGACCGGAGCCGGAGGAACGGAGGGTACGGGCAGGTAGGTAGGGTGATAGTAGGTTGGAGAGGTAGGAGGGAGCGAGGCCGTGAATGGCCTTGTAGGTGAGGATGAGGATCTTGAAATCAATCCTCTGGGGGATGGGGAGCCAGTGGAGGCGAGCGAGGGTGGGTGTGATGTGGTCGCGAAGCCTGGTGCGGGACAGTACACGAGCTGCAGAGTTCTGAATGACCTGCAGCTTGTGGAGGGAGGTGCGGGAAGGCCGGCGAGGAGAGAGTTCCCATAGTCCAGCCTTGAGGTGACAAAGGCGTGAACCAGGGTTTCAGCAGCGTGAGGGGTGAGGTAGTGCCGTAGTCTGGCGATGTTCCGGAGGTGATGGAAGGCAGTGCCAGTTGTGGTGCGGATGTGAGGGAGAAAGGACAGCTCAGGGTCGAACAGAACGCCGAGTTCCTGACCGGCTTAGAGAGGTGGAGAGTGCAGCCTTGGATGCTGATGGTGTCGGCGCCTGAGGTGCTGACGTGAGCCAATCAGGAGGGCCTCGGTTTTTCGCACATTGAGCTGAAGAAAGTTGTCTCTCATCCAGGACTCGATGTCGGACAGGCAGCTGTCAGGACATCGGTGGTCGTGGAGTTGAGAGTAGAGGAGGAAAGGTAGAGTTGGGTATCATCCGCATACATGTGGAAGTTAACTCCATGTCTGCGGATGATGTCACCGAGGGGGAGCATATAGAGGGTGAAGAGGAGGGGACTGAGGACAGAGCCCTGAGGGACACCACATGAGACAGTACGGGGGGTGGAGGAGAAGCCATTCGTCGATAATGCATAATGCATAATAAATCAATGCATAGGAAATGCAGTTGGTTTTTAAGCTTAAAAAGAAAATCAATAAAAATAAATGTAGAGTGTAAATATGCAACAAATATTTAACTGAGTCACTTTAGGCTTCAGAATAGAGCTCCATTTCACTGCATTGTTTCAGGATATGCAGAACATTCATTGCACATACAGATGATGTAATAGAAATCTATAAGTTTCCAAAATGTTTTAAACATATATAAAACCAACTATTTAGTAGCAGAGAGATGGAGGGTTTGTCTTATGAAACAATTTGGTTTTGAACCGCTCTCTTAATTGTGCTTTTGTGACTTTCTTCAGGAGAGATGAAAGGGGCATAAAACTCTAATAATAAATAATCATTGCATTAATATTGCACCTTTCACATTGGGTGTACATCTAAAACCACTTCCCAGGATTTTACTGTAAAACGTGTAGTGACTGTGACCGCCAACGTGTGCACAACAATGTCCCAAAATCAGTGCGGAAGCATACAACAACCTCTTTCCCAGTTGGGTATCTAGTGCAATACTCGCTGGACATCGAGATAGTAGCTGTGAATTAGAATGAAAGACTCCCCATAATCCAATTTCTAAACTTATTTTGCTTCCAATAGAGTCATAGAGAATATTTGTGCAGTCCTGTAGCTCAGTGGTTAGAGCACTCGCCTCGCAAGTGAGAGACCTGGGTTCGAATCCCAGCAGGGTGAAATGTTGGGCAAGTTTCCTTACTCCATACGTCTCTGTTTACCTAGTAGTAACTAGGAACCCGGTTGTTAGTTGATTGGCGGATTGCTTTCCTGGTGTTATTAACAAATAATAATTTGGTCACTCAATCCACGACTGTTTGTGGGACACTGCCGTATGCTCACCCCTCTAACTCAAATCATTCAGAGTTTTTGTTTCCACATCTACCTTCTTCCTGCAACCAAAGGCTTGGTAATACACACGACAGGCATGTTGCTGCAGGATGTTACCAAACCCAATACTGATATCAACGTGATGGACATTAAAGTAATTATTTTTTTTTGAAGCATTCTACATTATACATTTTCTACATTAGTTTCTGCAGGATATCAATTATATTAACGCCCAAAATATAACGTTATGATCATATTTAGAATATTAGACTCGTACTTGTAAGAGTAATTTCCTGTCCCCTCAGATGGAGTCTGCTCATTCAGAAATAGTGAAGTAGAGGATAGTGTGGTGGCTAAGGAGGCTGCTTCAAATAAGGACGTTGTGCTGGGTAACAGATCTGGTCGCCTACGATATCCTATTGCAGGAAAGCAAAAAAAAGAAACACAATTACTATTTTTATATAAAAAAAGTGTTCTCAATTCAGATTAGATTCTTTAACCTCTCTCCCCCCACCACCCCCTCCACACACACACAGAGCTTGGAGAAAGCAGCCGCTGATAGGATCAGCTTGGCTCAGTTGGCAGAACTCTTGTCTCTGAGCCAGAAGTTTATGAGTTCAAGCCCCATATCAGACCTTTGACCTCTCAAAGTCGAGGTTAACACTACAGTGTGGATTGGGGGGCATGTTGTATTGTTGGAGATACCGTTCCTTTGGACGAGATGTTAAACCGAGACCCCATCTGCTTGTTCAGGTGGATGTTAAAGATCCCATGGTATTATTTGAAAAGAGAAGGGAGTTTCTCCCGGTGTCCTGGCCAATAATCCCTCAAATAAAATTGGTCAATCATTTCATGGCTGACAGGTAAACACCCCTTCACTCACCCACATCCTTCCCAACTCTCAACCCTGCATACTCAACAGTCGTTCCCCCACCCCACAATCTACAACCCCACCAAACCTTTCTTTTTCCGCCTATGCCCCACTTGCACTGGCCTCCAAAATGTCTGCTCCCTCTCAAATAAAGCTCTTGTAATCCACGATTTCATTCTGGAAGCAAATAGACATTTTCGGGATCACAGAAACCTGGCTCTCCCCGGTAACCCTGTCCCCCTCGTTGAATCCTCCGTGCCTGTTACAATTCTCACCACCCCTCCCACCCCAACCAATGCAATGTTGGGATAGCTGTCATCTCCAAAACCTCTGTATCTCCTACTCCTCAGGCTGTTTGCCCTCTTTTGAGCACCTCACCCTCTACCATTCCTCCTCTCTTTCCTTCAAAATTCTGCTGGTTTACTGCCCCCCACCCTCCCAAACATCCTGGGTCCTTCCTTGCGGATATCTCCTCTCTCTTCTCAGCCTCGGCTCTCTGCCATAATGGGTAATTTCAACCTTCATCTATTCCCCCGCCCCATCTCCTCTGACTTTGCCGCTGTCCACTCTAAACCTCCATCCACAACCGTGGCCACTCCCTTGACCTCACCCATGGCCTAACCATTTCTGATCTGACCATCACAGGCAAGGCCATCTCAGACCACTTCCTCAACTCCTTCTCCTCTCACATCCATCTCAAAACCGACCCACTCCCCCTGGTACAACCGTCAGCCTTTGGTCCTTCAAATCCCAAACTCGGTTGCTTGAGTGCAAATGGCACAAAAACGGCCTCACAGTTCATTAACAACTGTGGCTCGAGCATCTTCACACCTACCGCCGCTCTCTCTCAAGCCAAAACCGCTTTTTACTCACAGGTCATTCTCAAGGCCAAACCCAACCCCAAAATCAGATTCTCCACTACCCACCAACTCCACCACGCCCCCTCTCAAGCCTCCTCGATCCTCACTTCAGATGCCAAGTGTGAAGAGGTCCTGGACTACTTTACCTCATGTCGCCAGATGCCCCCTCATCTCCTCCAACCTCGGTTCCTACCACACCCACCACCCTACACTCATTTGCCCCCATCTCTCCCTCCACCCTTTCCCCCACCATCACCCAGATGAAGTTCACCACCTGCTTTATAAATGGAATCTTGTTGTTGTTGTTGTTGCTGCTTCGACCCCACCCAGCTTTTGGTCACTCAACTCCCCCTCCTCTGCCCACTGCTGGCTGACACAATCAACCAGTCCCTCTCCTCAGGCTCTGTCCCACTCCCCCTCAAATCACCTGTCATCAATCCCCTCCTTAAAAAAACCCACCCTCAATCCCTCCAATCTCACAAACTTCAGATCCATCTCAAACCTGCCTTGCTGCCAAAGTTTTGGAGCACGTCGTTACAAATCAGCTTTGCTCACACCTCTCTCTCCACTCCCGACTCGGACCCCTCTAGTCCGGTTTCTGCCCTGCCCACAGCACAGACAGCGCTCATAAAAGTAACAAATTGTGACCAGGGCTTCCTCTGCCTCCTCATTCTCCTGGACCACTCTCCCGCGTTTGACACAGTTGCCCCAACCATTCTCCTCCACCGCCTCTACTCCCTCATCCATCTTAGTGAGACTGCATTTGCATGGTTCGAGTCCTACTTAACTTCTTAACTACAACAATACATTTTGGCATATGGTTTTCCCTCCTGCCCCTGCACAGGCACCTACGGGGTACCCCAAGGATCCGTCCTTGGCCCCTTTCTTTTCCCGCTATATCAAATGCAAGGTTTATTAGTATTATCTACATGCTCCCTCGCAGTGATGTCATCTGCAGACATGTGGTCAACTTCCACATGTACGCGGATGACACCCAAATCGTGCTTAAGGTGTCAGACTCCGCCACTGTCAAGAGCTCCGGGATGCTACCCCCCGTGATGGATGCTATATAAATGCAAGTTGTTGTTGTGCGACATTGCAAATGGGGTTCTGCCTTCATCTACAAATCCAGGGCTTTTTGGATATATGCTGTGATGTAGCTTACAGCATTGAGCTAAACTGCATGAAAATGGCAACTTGAGCTAATGTGCATATACACCCAACTTTCCAATGTATTACATAAAACCATGCAGTGTGAAACCCAAAGCCACTGAGATATCAGTCACCCGAGGGTGGAGATTGTAACAAAGCATTCATTAAAAGGCCACCTGAAGTGTCTGATTAGTTTCTCCTCATAACATCAACACTAATATACAACATTCCATTCTACAAAACTGCAGTGACTGAATATCTGCTGTGCACAATTAGCTTACAGTATATTCTGTGAAGCGCTTTGGGACGTCTAGAAGATATGAAAAGCGCTATATCAAATGCAAGGATTATTATTATTATTATTACCTAGCATCGAATCACTTTTCTACAAAAAAAGTCAATATTACCATCTACTGAACTACATAACGAATGGAAGATGTTCCTATGCATTTCAGAAGACTTCCCCTTGAATCAGTTTTCTGAGTAAATTTTAACAACATTTATTTATACTCTCTACTTGTATCAAAAAGAGAGTAGTAACTAGCAAATTTACAGAATAAAGTGGACCTTTCAGTATTGCAATAAATTGTACTATTTCTGCCAAAAGTACAAATGTTTTTTCAAATGTTAATAAAAAGAGTTACCTGGACAAACAGATGATTTTAGGATACTGTGGTCATCTTATCAAATTAAAATTGACAATATTGTTGACGATGTATTCTAACATATTAAACACACGCACATACAAGGTACGTTTCTGTGTTAATAGACACTTGCTTACAAATAGTATTACTAAAATGAAACCCAGAAGTACAGCATGAAAGAAAAAAATCATTTTTGTTTAAATATAGATTTTAGTTTTCCGTTAGAAGCATCTGGGTACAATCAAGCCAAACAGAATGGAATAAACAGATCCATACTTTCTCTCCATCAGTGGCATATTGTGTAATTACTGTGGCCATCTGGCCTCTTTCAATAAAGACCCTTGACTAGGCAGCACAACCAGTTTTAGCCAAACCTTTATCTATACAAATGAACATTTAAATACTAATCACAAAGAAAACAAACTTACATCAGTCCTTGCACATCTGCTCACATCACATTTCATTTCTCTCAGCTAATTTTTCACATGGATTAGCAGTCCTTTCCTATTGAATCAAATTGATAGTTGACGTTTTCAGATGATTCTCTAGCTTCCTATTGAAGACTCGATCCATCATTTTTTTTAGAGCAGTTGCTAGTCATTTTGGTTTTCCTGAAATGGAAAACTCATACTCGAACAGTTGGCGTAACTGCTACCTGCTTTTATACATCTTTGAAATACTGTAATTGAAAATAAATACAGTATTTTGCATTTGGTGGACAATCCCACACAGCAAGATCCCCCTGGGTGCAGGCAAGGCACTTTCTTTGGGGGAAAGGAATGAAACGATGAGATGTTTTATGCATTTCATACACAGAGATGTTTGCAAGCTGGATCATCCTCTTGTTTGTATTTTGTACACCATCACAAAAAAAATGATTTGATAAAATGAAATCTCACACATTATGCGGAAATTTAGGAAGTTAAGACCATTAAATCCACTGAGCCCAGTCTGTCAGACTGTTCCACTACACTGTGCCCAACTCTGCCCCCAACCCTTCCTTGTCAATGAATTCTTTAATATTTCTAATTCTATCTATCACTTTCTTGAATGATTCAATTGATTTCTCATTCATGGCTTTCAGGGGGAGTATTTCCAAAGTGTTAGATCACTTTGCAAGAGGAAATTAATTCTTGCAAAAAAACAAGGCCCCTGTAGCAGATTGCATGCTCAGTATCCAGGTTAGAGAGCAAAACATGTTATTGAGAAACCTAACCATTAACAAGTGTTTTTTTTAAAAAAGGTCTGTTCCCAGTAGGGTCAAAGATGTGAGGTCATCTAATTTCAGGCAACCAGTGACAGTGTTAAAACCTTTCCAACTGCAGAATGAAAAGCTCCTTATTTTGACCCAATTTATATCAAATGGGACCTTACAGTTTTTAGTCCAGTCTGTTCAAGAGTTGAAAGAGCAGTGCTCACCAAAAAAAATTTAAAACTAAGTAAAACAACCACAAAACTTCTTAAAATGAATCCCTATAACTTCTGATTGCAATATACAATTTCTGATTGCAATGTCGATCAGCTCACTGAGAAATTCATGACCAAATTCAGTGAAAAACTAACAAGAGACTATCAAGCTCAATTAAGGTGGCAAGTTACTCTTCACATATAAAGTTTGTAGATTCTTGGCTCCATTCAATGATATTTCCCACCACGCACACAAAATATACCTAGAGAATCATCTGAAAACGTCAACTATCAAGTTTGGAGGAAATTGAGAATAGGCATTTGAATATTGAAGCATGATCCCTGCAAGATCACTCTATACATAAGTTTTGTTAAAATCAGTTTAAGTGTTGGAAAACAGATGTGTTAATGCCCATACACCCAAACAATGGCACTCCCAAATTCTGGTTGAATAACGATGAGCAGGACCGAAGATGATTTTGCCCTATTTTGAGGCATTGTGTGTAGAGAGAATACATCAATTAACCTCAAGATCTTGAGTTTAAGGCCCATTTGACATCCAACCAATGTATTCAATACATCATTATATCCCTCGGTTTGCACACAAAACTCCCCCATAGATGAGGCCAAATACAAGTACTGTACATTACCTTCTTCGTCAAGGCTGGAATAGCTCCTGGTGCCGTATAACGTCTCATTTCTTCCATCTGTTAGCTCTTGCGTGGGCCCAGGTGCTGGAACTTCTTGTCCTGTGTATTTAATAGCTGGAATGGAATTCCGAGCTCTCTTTGAAGGAGATGACCTCAAAGCTGTGAAAACAAAAAGGGGGACTATAAATTTCACTTTATATTCAACAAAAACTTTAACATTTCGCTTCATTATCAATACACTTTTGGATTTTAAGAATCTTGTGTTTTGGTCAACTGGTAGTTTGAAACAAGCTTAATCGGCATGCTTAAGAGTATCCAAACTAGACTGAGATCCACCTACATATGGAAAGCCCACTCTTCCTAGAGGGACACTTCCTGCGTACCTAATTCCAGAGAGTATTAGGCACAGGTAGGCAAAAGCCAAGGCTAGTGGACCCCAGAGTAGGCATTGGGGTGCTGCTGGAGTTCAACCAGCTAATACCTTATAGCTTGTCATTGACAACACTGTCTGGTAAGCTTCCAGCTAGGGCTACCATAACCATTAGGATTTTGTCTTTCAGAGATCACAGGAGCTGAGTGGGAAGAATTCCTGTTCCCAGTGACTGGTCTGCCCTTCCAAGACCTACTAATGAGCCAGGTAGGCTGGGTTGTTGTCAGCAGTGCTCTGGAATATTGTGGGCCCATCTGTCTCAGGAACCAGGCTAGAGTCCACCAGATGATTGACTTAATTCTGACATTTCAGTGCCAAGCACGAATCAGTCACCTGATAATAATCCTTGCATCTGATATCGTTCCTTATCATGTCTTTGAGACATCTCAAAGCACTTCACAGAATATACTGAAAAGTGAATTGACTGTATATTTTGTGGACGAAACGTGGCAGTCAATTGTGCACAGCAGTGTCCCACAAACAGTTGTGGATTGAGTGACTAAATTACTATTTTTAAAATTTATTTTTTGAACCTTGGAGCCAGTTCAGCATTCCTTCCCTGAAGCACTCAGAACCGTGTAGGTGGAGCTGAGTGAAAGGTGATGGAGAAGAACAGATTGATCAACAGCATCAAAGGCAGCAGGCATCAAGAAGAACAAAATGACAGAGAGAGCCCTGGTCACAGAAGGACAGAATGTCGTTTATGACCGATTAGTCTCTGTAGTGTGAGAAGCACAGAAACCAGATTGGAGGGGTTAATGAAAGGAATGCTGGGAGAGGTAAGAGCAAAGCTAGGAAGCAACGACTCGTTCCAGAACCCGGAAAAGGGAAGTTGGGGATGGGATGGTAGGGAACTGAGAGGCTGGGGATGATGACTGCTGTTTTCAAGGGTGTGGGAACTGTGCCAGTGAACAAAGAGAGGTTGACTACGACAGTTAGTTTCAGCTTTCTACCAATAGCTTTACAAAATGAATTAAAGAGAAACCCCAATTACACCAATTTGCAAACTATGCCTCTGATTTGACCGTGTTGATTTCGGTGTTTGGGGATTGGAGGCGGGAGAGGAAAAATAAATCACTCTTACAACATTGTAAGTTCTATAGCACTAGGGTAACGAGCACAAATCTCTTACTCACATTGTGACTTTTTGAAAACTTTACAGTTCATGAATTTCAGAAATCTATCAGCATAGAATCCAGGCCTATGGACAGACACAGAGTCCTGTGAGAAAACAAGACAACAAGTCAATTCTTTAGCTTCCATTTTGTTGGACTTAATATCAAAGTACTTTAAGAAGCCTAATACTCCCAACAAGGCAATGAACCACTTCCAGATAATACCGTGCTCTTTAACTTGAAACTTTAAATTCTGGAACAAATTGATAAAAAGTACCAGAAAACACAAATCGTCTGTTTCAATTTCTGCAAAGTTGTAGTGAAATATCAGAACATTTCTTCCTCCTTTCCCATCAATCATTTTACTGCCTAGACCTATCCTGGTAATTGCATTCTTTAACTTATGCTCTATTGGTCAAGGAGAAATAAAATTCAAGCCTACTCCATCATAGACGAGTGCTTTCCAGGAGTGTTCCAGCTTCTTAATGAACCTATTGAGAGGGGCAAAAAAAAATGTATTTTAAAACCAAGATTGGATTTACACTTTACTTATTGATTATAAACAATGATGTTGGACATTGTGTCAGTGACACAGAATTACACACTGTTCCGCCCCAAAACATTCGGCCAATTAGTCAGTGCTGGTGTTTATACTCCACATGGGCCCCTACCCCTCCTAATACCCTCTTCCATCCCCCTCTTTTTCCCTCTCCCTTTTGTATGACTGTTAATCTGTGGGTGAATACTCCTAATTTCCAAACAAGTTAGTAAATCTTTAGTAACTCCTTATGTTTATCAATACGGTCATCTACAGAACTGACCCTTATTCTGTTTCCGTTCCTCTCCTCACCGTCAACTTTCTTACACCAATAGACTGCAGCTCTAACTTCTTAATATCTTTTGCAAAAACATAACATTTTCAATTCTCACAGCAACCCCTTAGAATTTGCTGATTTACCACCATGCTAATTTACATCGGCTCTGTGCCTATTGGGAAGTGTGTTGAGTCAAACTCATTTCATCCAGGACTCTTCAAGCCACTGGTGAGAGGGTTAAGACCATCAGCTTGGTAACCCTATTGATTCTTTAAGACTACGCAGCTGGGTTTTAAAAAGTCTTTCGCAAAGAGTCAAAAGCAACATAGATCGGTAAATGACATTTAACATATGTCTTCATTGGTATGGGATATCTGTCTTGGATAGTAAACATACCTGCACCAACCATTCCCCCTGGAGTAAAATAATGATATTCATGTTATCCGTACCTGTAGGACTGTAGAATATCAATAATGGCCATGTAAAGTAGAAGCCGCTCTCCTTTATTATTCTTGGCTGGTATGCCTCCAATTCTAAAAGAACAAAATCCAGAAAAAACTTATTAGGAACAAGAGTGTGTGGGAAGAGAAAGAGGAAATTTCATGTTCCCAACTCTGAACCCTTAGCTATATAAAGCACAATTCAAGAGCTGCCACATGCAAAAAGCTTTATTTTTCCTGTTTGAAATGTTTATTAAGAAACTCCACCTTTGTCGCTCATGTTACTCGTGCCTTCTTAGATAAAATCAAACAACTGCAGAGTAAACCACTCTCTCCCCCAATTTTACTTGAGCAAATGTACCTGAACACCAACCTTAGAATAGGATCCCCTATTGCACTTCTGTGATTGTTACTACTTCCCACCATACTTTTGCATGAAGTTATATGAAGTGGTCAAATTGAGTGACATCCTGCAGATAATTTATGACGTGGCCCTACGTTCACCAGAAACAAAGTTGACAATACGCAAACTCACTTTATACTCAAACCTTACAACAGATAGACAGATGTTCATACCCATCATTTTAAACTGGATTCAAAGCCAGATGCTATATGTCGGATGACAGTTTGCAAACCCAGTACAGCTCACAGTCCTCAGTAAGGAAACTTAAAAAGAGAAAGTATATTGTCTCTAATTACCACTTGATTGCAAATGTCCATGAACTTACTATCTTACCATTTACCTCTTGGTACCAGATTTTATGCCTTAAAACTGCTGATCAATGATTAGAGGCAGGCTAGGCACGGATTGAAAATGCAGTATTCATGACCTGGGCTCGCAAATGTGCCAAGAGTTGCAAACACTCCTGTTCGTCTCCTGTTACTCCACTGATCCATGGGAACGCCACAATCTACATCCAGGTGGGCACTGGATTGGTGTCTCCATGGGTTAGCGTGATACATTTAGTTAATGGCAGAAGCCCCCATTTTCTAGTTGATATTTGGAAGCCAATGAAATATTAGTCCTGTAGCTCAGTGGTTAGAGCACTCGCCTCACAAGCGAGAGACCTGGGTTTGATTCCCATCAGGGTGAAATCTTGGGCAAGTTTCCTAACTCCACACACCTGATAATAATCCCTCAAGAAAAAAAAACAATAATAAATTGGTCACTTCAATCCACGACTGTTTGTGGGACACTGCTGTGCACAATTGGCTGCCGCGTTTCGCTCACAAATATACAGTCAATTCACTTTACAGTATTTTCTGTGAAGCACTTTGAGACGTCTCAAAGACGTGATATGACTCAAAATGGATACACAAAATGTTCTAAAGAAACATTATGAAAAAGCTGTATATAATCAAATATCAGACCACTAAACAAGTTAAGAAGAGATCAAGAATATAAGCTTGATGGTACAATCTTAAAGGGGGTGGAGGAACAGAGAGACCTGGGGGTTCATAAGTAAATCTTTGAAGGTGGCAGGACAGGTAGATAAAGCTGTTAAAAAAGCATACGGGATACCAGGCTTTATAAACATGGGCCTAGAATACAAAAGTCTGGAAGTTATGATGAACTTTTATAAAACATTAGTTAGGCCTCAGCTAGAGACTGTGTTCAGTTCTGGGCCTCACACTTCAGGAAGATGTAAAGGAATTGGAGAGGTTGCAAAGGAGATTTACCAGGATGGTACCAGGAATGAGGGACTTCAGTTATCAGGAGAGGCTAGAGAAGCCAGGATTATTCTTAGAGCAGAGAAGGTTAAGAGGAGACTTAATAGAAGTTTTCAAAATTATGAGGGGATTCGAACAAAGAGAAACTATTTCCACTGGCAGGTGGGTTGGTAAACCCGAGGACACCGATTTTAAATAGTTGTTAAAAGAAACAGAGGGAAGGTGAGGAGAAATTTGTTTACACAGCGAGTTGTTTGGATCTGGATTGCATTGCCTGAAAGGGTGGTGGAAGCCGATTTGATAACAGTTTTTAAGAGAGAAGTAGATAATTATTTGGGAAGGACAAGTTTGCAGGAATATGGGGATAGAGCAAGGGAGTGGGATTGAATTGGATAGCTCTTTTCAAAGATCCTGAGTTGTGCAAGGATGTTCATGCTAAGAGCCAGTTCATGCTAAAACACTAGTTAGGCCTCAGTTAGAGACTGTGTTCAGTTCTGAGCCCTACACTTTAGGAAGGATGTAAATGCATTGGAGAGGGTGCAAAGGAGATTTACCAGGATGGTACCAGGAATGAGGGACTTCAGCCACACACCCACCCCCAATACAACAACAACAACAACAACAAGATTCCATTTATAGAGCGCCTTTCACGTCAGGAGGACGTCCCAAGGCGCTGCACAGTTGGGTCATGACCCGTTTTTAAGAGTTTTTAACAATGCCCAACATTGCTTAACAAGAAGCCCAAAGATGCAGCTGCTGAAAAGAAACAACTCCATTGACAATAACCCTTTGATGCTCTGCAGCAGTGGAATACATGGAAATTGGGACGATCTTCAACCACCTCCCTAGACAACTTCAGTAGAAGTCTATGGTGCAGAATTGCTACATCTTGGACCAGTGAAAGGCATTATATGGCCTGAGACTATTTGTGACCCTCCTCCAAGCTGTCGGTCCCAAATAGCCTTGCTGTGCCTTCTGCTTTTGGGGATTCTTTCATAGTCTAATTGTGTGATGCTGACTGAATAAAATGCCGTTCTCAAAATTCAGCAACACTCGTAGGCTGTCCTGGTATCCACAGGACAAGTGAAGGGAATATTTAAATCATACTGTCTAGTAGAACAAATGGTCCTAGCTTTCTCTTCCTCCTGCGCCTTTTCCTGTGGCTAAATGCCTGACCTCTTCTTAAGAGACTGGCCATAGCGGAATGATCAAACTAGGACTCTTCACTAGTGAGAGAAAATGACTGAGGGGACCTCATGGAGGTGTACAAAATATTAAATGGGATTGAAAAAGTGAACCCAGATCAATCATTTAGGATGTATTGTGACAGTAGAACAGGACGACATTCAGTATTGAGTTGTAAAAGGCAACTTCAGGTCAGGTACCAGGCAGTTTTTCTTTACGCAGAGGGTAGTCAACGACTGGAACAAGTTGCCAGGAAAGGAGGTATCAATCCGTGAGGATACACAACATTTTTTTGTGCAATCTAAGAAATTAAACAATTCAAACTGAAAACCAATGATTAAATCTTTTCTCCACCGAGTATAATGATTGGCTTCACAAGAAAATACACCGAGTTTACTCACACATCCTCCGTTCCAAGAGATTCCTTCGATTTTGTAGCTCCCTGTATAGATTCCAGGGCTGTGGAATACAAGACCTTCTGCCCTCCTGGGCGTTTCCCATCTGATGCTGTTTGGAAACTCTCTAACTCATTTTCATTTTCAGCTATGTCCAAGTTATGGATTCCCAATAACAGACTGTAGTCCATGATTTTGAAACTTTCTAATACCTGGTGGCATACAAATCACAATTCATCACCCGGCTGCAGTGGAAGAAATCAATAGCAATTTCATGCTTGGTGCCATTGACTTAGCACCCAGGTTTCAGCAGTTACATTAATGTCATCATTCAAAATGAAAAGGTTCCAAATATATACGACTCCACAACCCGAGAGTTTGAGACAAACCGAGGTCCTGTTCTGGCTGTTCAGGTGGATGTTAAAGATTCTTTGTCATGATTCAACAACAATAACAACAAGATTCCATTTATTGAGCGCCTTTCACGTCGGGAGGACGTCCCAAGGCGCTGTACAGTTGGGTCAGGACCCGAGCAGGGGGGAAATGGTCAGGGTGAGGGGAGGGAAGGGAGGGAGCGAGGAGGGGTAGAGAGTCGAGAGGGGAGCTGAAGACACGGTCAAAGAGAAAGGTCTTGAGACCGGCCTTGAAGGAGGAAAGGGAGGAGGCAGCGAAGGCACTGGGGGATAGTGTTCCAGAGCCTCGGGGCTGAGAGGCTGAAGGCCCGGCCACCGATGGTAGGGCGGTTGGTGCGGGGGATGTGGAGCAGACCGGAGCCAGAGGAATGGAGGGTACGGGCAGGTAAGAGAAGGGAGTTTCTTCCTGTGTTTTGGTCAACAACCCCCGAAATAAAAATTGGGCTATCATACCCTGGCTGTTTGTGGGACATTGCTGTCCTGGCAATTAGGTGTCATGTTTGCCCACAAAATACACAGCCACACTACTTACTGTATATCCTGTGAAGTGCTTTGAGATGTCTTGACGACATGATAAACCACTATATCAAGTTCAAAGTTTATTCTTAATACAAGTAACAGATAACAAGCTAAACACATTGAAGATTCAGTCAAATTTTGTTGCAAATTTAAAAAGCCTGAAAAGCTTCCTTTTCGACTGTGCTTACGGTCATCTCCTCCCCCGCACCCCCCCCCCCTCCCCAATTTGCACACAGCAATGTACACAAAGCAAGTGAGTAACCAATTATATCTGGGGTATTGTTGGCCAGGATGATGGGAGAAACACTCTTCTCTTTTTGAAAAGTGCTGTGGGATCTTTCAGATCCACTTGAACAAACAGAGAAGCCTCGGTTTAAATGTCTCATCTGAAGTAAAGAACCTCCGACAATGCAGCACACAGTACTGCACTGAGGTCTCAGTTCCAGGATTCCACTTCTAAAGCTTTCATAATCTTTCAGCACAGAAGGACATTTGGCCCTTTGTGGTTACGCCAGCTCTCCAAAGGCTATCAATTTAGTGCCACTCCCCTGCCTTTTCCTTTAAACAATGTACCTATTACAGAGCAGTTTTGTAATAGATTGAACAAAATAATAAAGATAATGCGAGTTCATAGTTCTAAATTCAATGAGGATAGTGGCTATTTGCAAATAATAATAAATAATAATAATCCTTGCATTTGCTACAACGCCTTATTCTGTTGTTGAGACATCTCAAAGAGCTTCACAGAATATACTGTAAAGTGTACACTTTGTCGGTGAAATTGCCCAAGAGGCACATTCCTGAGAAGAAAATAGGGACTCTGCAATTCTAAAACAAAATTACAAGAACCTTTCTTCGACAACAAATTAAAACAACTGCTTGGCTATTTTCCTTCTGCAAAAACATAAAATGTTAGGTTCTTTTCATAACTTGTAAATTGTAGGCAACAATTATTATATATAGCTTGCCATAGAAATTACTTCACACAAAAAAATGTCACTTGACACCCCCACCCTCCCCCACCGACATCATGATGCCAGTTTAACATTTCAGTCGTTCTGCCAGAAATTGCCTATCCTCATCTAATTTGAAAAGTGCTGAAATGAATTCTGAGAGGTTGCATTAGTGCTGTAACTTTTGGATACGTTGCATATATGAATTCAAGTCAATGAGCTTAGTAAACAGAGAATCCTGTCCCTCAAGCTCCACTTGGATATGACCTCAGTTCCAGGTGCGTGAGTTAATGTATTAAGTGGAACTCCAGAGTCAGCCATGACACATGTGCTATTTACTGATACTTTGCAAATCATACTCCAGGCTCCAATATTAGCGCTCATGAACAAAAAAATGACTTCACTTCATAAGGCAGTATCCTCTATTAAATAGTTAACGTGTATTGCACTTCTTTCACCTAAAAAGGTCTCACATTTAAAAATGAACACATTTTTCCATCAGTCTTATCAGTTGTATTGATGCATTACTTTGCGATACTCTCTGTAAATAAAGGGCAGCAGCCAAAAATAACTTTTTCCATTGCTTCAGCCAGTTTTCAGAAGTATGAAACTGCACGTGGATAATTTCAAAAGGGTAATTATGTGTTAAAGAAAAACACAGTTCTGCAATTTGCTTTAATCAGCTGTGTTTTAGCAACAGTAAGTTTTGATTCTTTTCTTAAAAATACATGTGTTCCACTGGCTTGGAGTCCTTGTTTAAATGAGTGTGTTGACAACCTTTCTAATTGCTACCCTGCCATGTTAATACATCAGGAGACTGGAAATCAGACTGTGCTTATCCAAACATTTTCTTCATCAAGTCTCCAAGAGAGACCAAACATCAACATACAGGAGTACAGTGATAATACATAATGCTTATTTAACCGTACCTCTACTTCAATTACCATGCTAAATAAAGCAATTTGGCCTTGCATCACTTAGCAGTTGCACAACATTTTGGAGCTTCTAAATTATTGCAAAACTTCTCCCACTTTGAGTAAAGGGAAAATATAGATTTAGGGAGTTTTAGATTTAGGGAGTTTTGGAGTAACTTCTTTATGCAGAGGGTAGTGAGAATGTGTAATGCAATGCTGTGGAAGTTAATCTAACAATGGAATTCTTCATATTTCAATTCTCTTTTGAACAATGAATTTTTTTCTGTTAGTTCAAGACCCAGTTAACCCCAGGCTATTAAGGATAATGTAAAAATCACGTCATGAGAATATCTAGCAAAATGTGACATTTAAAAACTTTCAAAGAGAAATTGACGTGTAGAACATTCTAAATAACACCCAACTCTACCTCTCTGCCTCCACCCTTGACTCCCGGACCACTGCTGTCCTGACAGAATGTCTGTCAGACATCAAGTCCTGGATGAGAGCCAACTTTCTACAGTTGAACGTCAACAAGACCGAGGCTCTCCTGATTGGCTCCCGTCAGCGCCTCCACACCTCAGACTCTGGGAGCTTCACCATCCATGGTTGCACACTTCACCTTGCTAAGCCAGTCCAGAACCTTGGGGTCCGGTTTGATCCTCAACTGTTCTTTCTACCCCACATCCATGCCATGACCTGCTCTGCCTTACCCCACCTCCGCAGCATCGCCTGGCACCACCACTGTCAGGGTCAATTTAACTTTCCCATACAGCTTCAGCTGAGCCCACAAACTGAGCAGGGACCAGGATTCGAGCCAGTAAACTCCAGGTCTGTAAGCTGCAACTTCATCCACTGCATGATTAGTGCTGGCCCCCAATAACATTTCTTCAAGCTACTCAGCAGACAAAGATTTCATTCAGAACATCAAAATCTCCCTCCTCCCCTTCTATTCTCTTTTTTTCCTCCATCCTCGCTGCCCTCCACCCCTCCTGATCCCAACCTCCAGCTCAGGTGCAAATCCTTGACTGTCCAGCGCCTTGGGACGTTCTCCCGACATGAAAGGCGCTATACAAATGTAATTTATTGTTGTTGTTCCTCGCCCTAACTATATCCCTGTAATTTGGCAATATTGGACTTTTACACTTTTTAATTTTATAATATAGACATCACATTTGACTCGTGATTCATTCGTCCATGATAATCACAAAGCTCTTTTGCAATTCATATGAACAAGTTCAGGGAAACCTACGCAGGAAGCATCACATTTCCCATTCAAAACGGCAAGGCTATATGTAAATGAAACCTGAGAATATACAAAGTTTTCAGAAATAATTTGGACCTGTCACCACTCACTGCCTCCACAATACTCGATTTCTCCTATTCTAAAAATTATTCGCTTTTTGTGCTCAATCCAAGGAGCCTTGAAGTTGTAAATCCCCATTTCCGGGTAAACCTGCCTATAAAACCTCTGTTTTCTCTCTTTTGGTTTCTCTGTAGCAAAGAATTTTTAAAAAATTTATTGGGAATTTGCAGGTTGAAGGCAATTTAAAAAATGGATAAAAGAGTAGGACAGAAAGCATCATATTGTAAATAACTGCGTACAATGATTTATATTCATATAATACCTGTGTCAAATTTCTACCTACCCGACAATCACGCTGTAGAGTCTTCACCAACGCGTTATACGTTTCTGCATCAAAAAAGAGTCCATCGGACATATCCTGCATAAAGTCCAAGTCCTTGTAGGTCGGCGTGCTTTTCTCCCTTTCCTTTCTGGAGGCTCTCCTTTTGTAAGTTGAACCTTTCAAGTCGTATTTATAATGCATCCGCACAGAACGCGGCAGCACATTGTTCATGACTACAATTCTTATGTTACTGCCGCCCGATTGCATGCAGTACAATCCATAAAACTTGGGCAGAAGTGTCCTCAGGTTCTGGTTCAAGTTCTGTAAATAATAAACCAGGCATTACAGCTTTGGATAAAACATGCTGCTCTCTACAACAACAAATTATATTTGTATAGCTCCTTGCATGTCGGGAGGACGGCCCAAGGTGCTGGACCGTCAGGGATTTGATTCCCAAGCAGAAGGTTGGGATCGGGGGTGATGAAGGGCAGAGACGGCAAGGGTAGGAGGCTGGCGGAATATGCAGTCGAAGAGGAGGATCTTGAGACATGTTTTGCAGGAGATAAGGGAGGGAGAGCAAGAAGAACGTAATGTGGGATGAAGTTCCAAAGGGTGGAGGCAGAAGAGCTGAAAGCCCAACTGCCGATGGTGGGATGGGCCGGGTGGGGGACGAGAAGCAGGCCAGAGTCTCCTAAGTGGAGGGAGCAGACAGGTTGGTGTGGGGTTAGCAGGTCGCAGTGGTAGAGAAGGGCAAGGCCATGGAGGTCCTTGAAGGCGAGGACGAGGATTTTGAACTTTATCCTCTGGGGGATGGGATGCCAGTGGAGCCGGGTGAGGGTGGGGCTGATGGGGTCACAGAGCGAGAGGACACAAGCTGCGGAGTTCTGGATGATCTGCAGCTTCTGGAAGGAAGAGTTGGGAAGGTTGTCAAGCAGGGATTTGGTATAGTTGAACCTAGATGTATGTATGAGGGATTCAATGGCCTGAGGGGAGTGGCAGAGCCGGGCAATGTTGCGGAGATGGGGAAAGGCAGAGCAGGTCATTTAACAAATGGTTAAATTACAAAAACAACAACAAGATTACATTTGTATAGCGCCTTTCACGTTGGGTGGGTCGGGGGACGTGGAGCAGGCCAGAGCCGGCTGAGCGGAGGGAGCGGACGGGTTGGTAGGGGGTTAGGAGGTCACAGAAGTAGGGTGGGGCGAGGCCATGGAGGGCTTTGTATGTGAGAACCAGGATGTTGAACTGGATCCTAAAACACCTAAACTTGGACAAAAATAATCAAAAGCAAGTTTGGAATCAGACCAAACCATCTGCAACCAGTTGGCAGCCAACACAAGACTGAGTTTAGAAACTGCACAAAGTGAATTTAACATATGAATTATTGAACTGAAGACCTCATATTAGCATTAGACGTAACATGTTGTTTTGTTTCTGTATGTGAGGTAATCCCAGAAACTGGGAGAATTCAATTCCACCTTATTCAGCATTGCAAACATCTCAACAATAAAATTCAAATGAGTTTATAAAAGTGCGCAAATTTAGAATATCTTATATATGAGCCATTTACAGGTCACTCTTTCAAACTTCTATAAATATAATAAATATAACAATAATCCTTGCATTTGAGATAGCGTCTTATCACGTCACTGAGATGTCTCAAAGCCCTTCACAGAATATACTGTAAAGTGGATTGACTGTAGTTTGTGGACAAAATGCAGCATCTAATTGTGCACAGCAGTGTCCCACATACAGTGGTGGCTTGGTCGTCCAAATTAATGGTTTGCATCCGGCAAACATTTTCCTACTTGTGCTCCGAGTACAGATATGTTGATTTAAAGAAAGCTCACAGAAATCATTGCATAAATATTCAAGAAAAGTGAAGAAATAAACTGTTTAGAATTGTAGCTCACTCTTCAACAGAGATAAACTGAGTTTGATTGACACAACTGTAACCTCTACGTGTTCATTTGTATTCCAAAGTGGAAGCAGCCTGGAGACAAATTAAAAAAACCTGTTCCGTTTTAAGTACAAGATATGATTTTTGACTTGAGGGCAAGTTAATCTCCCTTCTCTTGCATCGTGTAGCAATTTTTTCCTATTCAGCGCTCACAAAGTTGATCTTTGTGTTCAGTTTCCGAGATACCAATTTGTATTCTTGTACTTTGACGAGAAGAGGAGAGATGATATTCAACATCCTTCACAATCTGTGGTCATTCAATTTGCTTCCTTTGCAAACTGTGCAAGGCACTTCACTCTCACGTCTGGATTGTAACAGAGTTACTCCTGATGTCTTTCCTGCTGTAGTTCCTGATGGTTAATCTCTGTCTTTTGTTTATCCAGGTACACATCTCAAGATCACTTTCTTATTCATCTATTTGGTATGTTTATGTTTATTTTGCCCCTACTGCACTTGGGTGCATAATTGTCCTGTAGGCATTGCATAATGTTCTTTAGGGATGCCCATTTATCCTTAACTGAGTTGTCCTTGAGAAATGCTTTCCATTCTGTGTCTCTTAGCTTGGCCACTTTTACCCCTAAAGTTTACCTGTCTAATGTTGTACACTAGAGTTTGGTTGCATGCTGGTGCAGTTGCCCCATCAAACAGAAGGTTATTGAGCTGTGATCACTGTCCCCTAATAGAACAACTACTTCCACTTCCTGAATAACGTCTGGGTCTCTGACTTGAACTCAATCAAGAAGAGAGCTGCCCCTTCTGGGCTCCCTGACACACTGAGTCAGGAAGCAGTCATGCACTACACTTACAAACTCAGTCTTTCACACTTGGCCATTCCCAGTTTATGTTGGGCTGATTGAAGTCCCCCAAATAATGTGATCAGTACGATTTACAATCCTGAATTTCTGGATTCCTCGACCAATCCCCCCACTCTCATCCACTCCTCAATTCTAGTTGAATAAAGACATCCTTCTTTTTCCAAAACCGAGCACGGTTATGCATCTATTTGGATGCAGAGCATACACGGACAAAGTTAAAAGACCTGCTGTTTCTTACCATATAATAGCCTGGCAGTAGCTTCTGCAAGAACTCTGCTTCTTTGTGCTGTACTGTCTTTATGATGAATTCATCATCACTCGTCACATAAAATAAAGACCCGCTAGCACCGGGATTCGAAAGCTCTATCAGTGGTTCGTTGCATAAAGAATACTGCCAAGACAGAAAGAAAGAAAAATCAATTTAAAATGTTAAATTTAAAAGTCAGTCATACATTTGTTGGGTGTGTGAATGTTGAATAATGCTCAGTTTCGTATGATGTTAGCAATTTTAATCCAAACTGGATACAAAGAAGGAATAAAAAAACATTTATGTATTCTAATAAGAAACTCACAAAGAAACTTGCATTTCCAGGCAAATGAGATTTTTACATCCATAATACAGAGCCACACTGTTTGAATACCCCACCCCCACCACCCACCATCAATTGAGTATTGGTTTCTAAAGTGCAGTTCTCCAAGGACTCATGCTAAGGTCTCCAGGGACTCAACTTGGCTTCCAACCCTGACTAATCTGCTTTCCACAAGAAAAATCTGCTTTCCATTTTTTCAAGGTTTGTTTATAACTTAACCTCAGAGATACTGGACCCAGATGACTACATCATAACAGGGAAAAACAGCATCGAAAACAAAAGTTTATACAATATCACTAAATAAGGCAAATATGCACCAATCTGTTTACATAATGACTTGGGTCATGAAGGAGGAATCAATCAAGACAGGAAATTGAGTTAGTAATAATAAAAACCTGTGCATTTGATATAGTGTCTTATTATAACCTTTCAAAGCCTTTCACAAGATATACTGTTAAGTGCACTGGGTGGAGTACACAAGGATATCATTCTCAGACTGTTTTGGTGCCTGAGAGGGGGAGGGAAAAAAAGAAAAAATACTTTGCATTGATTATATAACCAAACATTCATTACACTAGCTAACATTACAGATTTTTCCATTTCTGTACATAGCTTGCTTGTTCAAAATATAAGGGTTAAGACCTGCTGCTTGCCCTTATAATATGCAAAGGACGTCCTACTGATGTGAAAGGCGCTTTACAAATTACAAGAAGTCATGTAATTTTGTATTGTAAAGTTCCTGGCTATTACGATCCAGCCCATCTCTTCAGAAACTTGTATAAATTACACATAGATGAGGGTAAGAAATGCAAGCAGCATTAACAAAATCAACTTTTGAATGGAAGACTATGATGACAGAGCAGCGGATGGAGGACCCACAGTGAGCCCACCCACCCCAGGCTGCTAACGTAGGGAAAGCAATTTTTAAGTCCATTTTAGACTCTTGACAATAACAGTAACTTTATATGTGGAGGTCATTTGGCCAATCTGAACTAAAGATAGTACTAGCTCTTTCATTGAAGCTATCCTCATCTCAGACCCTATTATATTAGAGTCCTGTAGCTCAGTGATTAGAGCACTCGCCTCACAAGCGAGAGTCCTGGGTTCGATTCCCGGCTGGGGGAAACGTTGGGCAAGTTTCCTTACTCCACACGCCTCTGTTTACCTAGCAGTAAGTAGAAACTCGGTTGTTAGTTGATTGGCGGATCGCTTTTCCGGGGATAATAATTCCTTCTAAAAAATTTAAAAAAATAATATTTTGGTCTCTCAATCCATGACTGTTTGTGGGACACTGCTGCTTGCAATTGGCTGCTGCGTTTCGCCCACAAAATATACACTCAATTCACTTTATAGTATATTCTGTGAAGCGCTTTGAGACATCTCGAAGACGTGATAAGGTGCTATATCAAATGCAAGGATTATTATTATATCTTTGAGGAGGAAATCCTTGTAAAATAGTGTTGCAGATATTTCTACTATTAATCTACTAAATGCTATGTCAAATACAAGGATTATTATTACATTAGCTACAAATCTGAGTCACCTGATTGAAATTGGTCACAAATTTAAACCAATTTAGGACCACGTTTCAAACTATCCTGCTATCCTGTAATGCAATAAAACAATTGCCACTCTTCTCTGACCCTATCCAAAACACCTGTGCAACAAGAGTTGCATTCATGCAGCAGACAGAAAAGACACTCAAATGACAGTGATGTGCTCCTTTTGAATTTGCAAGATTTACCACTGGTCTTTAATGTGTGATCATGCCATAGAGGTAAATGTTCAAGGACGAGGAAATAAATCTGCTGGTACTGGTGACAATTTGATACAGGTACTTTGGCAGGGTTTCTCAAAACAAGTCAAGAACATAGGGGGCAGTTTTTTTTAAGTGATCTCTAGAAAACTCCAATCAAAATAATTACTGTTTAAAGAACAGGACAGAACAAAATGGAAAGATGTAGATAACAGTTACCTCACAGGCAGACAGGAGAAAATAGCATGCAGCACAAAAAGAACTGGATCAAGTCCAGAAAAAAATATAATCTTATGATTTAGATTACAGTCCTCATCTTATTTCTGCACTTCACTGGGTGAAATTTCAGGCTAAATGGTACATTAATGATGTAATAGCAGGCTATGCCAAGCAAGATCTTGGATTTCTTTTTTAAAAAATAGTCGTCAAGTAAAATGGGTAAGGGCCAAATTAATTCCTTGACATATTATTTTTAAAGAAATGTAAATTTTTGATAATTGATGATAAAAGCAGACTCACCAAATAATCATCTGGCCTTATGTGAAAGAGTTCTCGGAAGTAGCGGAATGCCAAAGGTGCGTACGTCTTAAATCTGAAGTCTGGATAGCGATGTGCTGGAGTGAGATTGCTTCCTTCACTGAAAGTCATTGAAAATGTGGTAAGGCGTTAATAGAAACAAAATGAAGAAAGAGCTGGAGACTGTATAGTAGAGCAACATGCATTTCCCAAACAGTTCACTGAATAATAATTTTCTGATATTGGCAGGAAAGCTCACTGTTTGGTTATAAATATGTCTCCCTTGCCTGTATTCACCCCCTGATACACTTCATTTGATTTCCCAATGATGCATCCCGTGCTTGATTTTTGTTGCATGGAACACGTTTTAAATAGTTAAAAGGGTTAACCTTACTGTGAATAGACTCCTTAATACAACAACTTGCATTTATATAGCATCCTTCACATGGTAGCATCTCGGTGGCTTGATACCGAGTTGGAAAGGAAGCGCAGGTGACCGAAGAGGAAAATCTTCAGGTATGATTTGAAATAGTCCACGGACTGAGTGTTTGCAATGATCAACAACATCTTACCTTCCCCAATGTCAACTACATAATACGAATTTGAAGTTTCTTTTTAAAAAAGAGATATTGTGAGCCCCTGATAGAAATTAATTTCATATTATCCACTTGAAACATATAATAAATTATATTTATGTTAAATGCAATGCTCGCTCCTATTGCGGCCCAAGTTTAGGCATCCACTTAGTTTTCAGCATCCAACAATACTATATAATCTTAGTATTTCACATTGCTTTCGTTCCAAAGTCATCTGTCAATCTTTGCAAGATACNTTTTTTTGGGAAGTGGAAATTTATGAAGGGGAACAGAGATACATTTCTAATGCTATATATAATTAGTTTGTACATAAGTCCTTGGCAAACATTTGTGCACATCACAGCAATTATTTGGATACAGGTGTTTGCAGAATATTCATTGAATAAGAGTTGTGAATTTAAATGAAAAGTCAGTGAAACTATATGGTTCTCATAGCATTAATGAAATCTGGCAGGCTTTGTGAAATGCAAAAAGCATTTCCAAAAATAGAATGTGTTCAGTTTCACTGACTTTTCATTTAAAGCTCTTACATGGAGTGGTACAACTCAGAAAACAGGGCATTTGGCCCAACTAGCTATGCCAGTATTTATACTCCACATGAACCCACTTATTCCATATTGGATCATACTCTTTGAGACTTGTTGCCAATATGGAAGGTGCTGTGTAATGTAGATTTTATTGTAAATCAGCTCTGACACAATGCACATTCTGCATGAAATACTTACAATTACTGGAAAGAGTTCCATTCTGACTCCTTATTAGAGAATTCTGCTAAAATCCAACACATATTATATCTATTAAAGACTGACAGCACAAAAATAGGCTTCAATCAGCATTTAATAGAATCATAGAAATTACAGCATATTAGGGAGCCATAATGGCCCATTTAATTATGCTGGTGTGTTCTAATCCCAATTCCCATTGTGCTTTGATATCACTCCCCTTCAAATGTTTATCCAATATTATGGTCTTAATTTTAAGGGACACTAGGAGACGATCGTAATTTAATGAAAATAGTAGCATTCCATGTTCCTGCCTGAAAACAAAAAGTTCTATTCTTCCCCCTTAACTCTTCTAGTGAAGATCCTGTGCTTTTGGTGTTGAATTATATTTTGAAGATAATATGACCCGATAGTCCTTATTACATGAGAGTACTTAAGAGGCCACCATTTACAAATCATAAAACATACCCTCAGTGGATGTCTTGTTAGCTGAACAAAGAATACGTAAAGCTAGACGAGTTGGGTTCTATCAATTTACAACGCATAAACAAACAATCAAATGTGGTTTGTGATTATAGGAGGACAAATGATCCAAAATATCACCGTCGGCAAATATCACAGAAAAAACGTAAGCTCTGAAGAATATTACAAAAGAAAAACCTTCAGAAATCAGATACCAGNAAAAATGTAAGAAAGACTTGATATTGGTCAAAATCAAAACCATGCCACCACAAGTTTAGATGCGCAATATCTAGCTTTATTTTTTTAAAAATAGTTAATACGGAACAGTTAGAACAGCTGCTCCTATCAGGGTCCTAATTCCCCAAACATTCTTGGCAAGTATTCCTCCAGACAATTTAGAGCAGTTGTTCAAGTGACAGCTATTTTATTGAGCTGGACATTGAAAATTAGAATGAATGACCAAACAGTACTTAAATTTTCATCATTTCACTTCAAATTACTATGTACACTATTGCATTTGTATTGGCACGTCAGCCTCCAATCTAAAAAAAGCAAATGACATCTTTCAGGTTTATAATGAGTTTGGAGTCCTGTAGCTCAGTGGTTAGAGCACTCGCTTTGCAAGCGAGAGACCTGAGTTCAATTCCAGGCAGGGCGAAACCTTGGGCAAGTTTCCTTACTCCACACGCCTAATAATAATTCCTCCAAAAAAAACAATAATAAATTGGTCATTTTCAATCTACGATTGTTTGTGGGACATTGCTGTGCGCAATTGGCTGCCGCGTTCGCCCACAAATATACAGTCAATTCACTTTACAGTGTGTTCTGTGAAACGCTTTGGGACGTCCTCCCAACGTGAAAAGCGCTATATCAAATGCAAGGATTATTTTATTATAATGTGGATAAATGCAAGGCAACACATATTGCAATTGTAAGTAGTAGCAATGTGCACACCACAAAGGGATGCCCATTAGAGGTGGTCAGGGAAAAAGCTCTGAGTTTGATAAATGAACATTCACAAAAGATTTCCAGTCCCACATGATGCAGTTATCAGGAAAGCTAACCATTAAATGTCAAGAGTAATTGATACAAGACGAAGCCTAGTCACTTTAACCTTGTTTTGATCACAGCTGAAGCCACAGTTAGAATGCCTTGTGCAATTTGGACACTAACTTCAAGTATAACATTAAGGCCTTGAAAAGGGTTCAGAAATGAAAAATGAGGAGATAGAGATGAGACTAAAAAAAACTCGCACTGGAACAACTGAATACGTGCAACAGACTCCCAGGAATTGATACTGAAATGAATCCATCAAAAAGAACTAAAAAATGATCTGTCTGAGAATGGGACTGAAGATTATTGAGACAGATGTATATTACGGTTTGAAAATGCTCCACAGGACAAGGCTTCTATGGTCCCACATTACTGGGAGCAAGAAAATATCTATGGAGTTACATTTAAGGGTTGAAGGGAGAAGATAAAGGGATGATATTATGGACAGTTCACTCAATTTGAAGGTCAGAGATTAGGGAGGATCTACAAAGAATTTTCCTTCAATACAACAAGATTCCATTTATAGAGCGCCTTTCACGTCAGGAGGACGTCCCAAGGCGCTGCACAGTTGGGTCATGACCCGAGCAGGGGGGAAATGGTCAGGGTGAGGGGAGGGAAGGGAGGGAGAGAGGAGGGGGAAATGGTCAGGGTGAGGGGAGGGAAGGGAGGGAGCGAGGAGGAGGAAGAGAGTCGAGAGGGGAGCTGAAGGCACGGTCAAAGAGAAAGGTTTTGAGACCGGCCTTGAAGGAGGAAAGGGAGGAAGCAAGGCGAAGGCACTGGGGGATGGAGTTCCAGAGCCTCGGGGCTGAGAGGCTGAAGGCCCGACCACCAATAGTAGGGCCGTTGGGGCCGGGGACGTGGAGCAGACCGGAGCCAGAGGAACGGAGGGTACGGGCAGGTAGGTAGGGGGAAAGTAGGTTGGAGAGGTAGGAGGGAGCAAGGCCGTGAATGGCCTTGTAGGTGAGGATGAGGATCTTGAAATAAGGATCTGTGGAGGAAGTGGGCTTGATGGACTGAGTGGTTTCGCACACCATGCTTTTGTGTACCTATATTTTTCTGGCATTACAAATAAAATTAGTTTCCATGTGCTGCAAAACACAATGTAATGAATACGGATGGCCCAATTGTAAAAGTAATCTGCATATTTCAACCATTCCCCAGTATAGTATTTGACATATAATCAACCAGCTTGTTTCTTTCTATAGTCAAGAAAAGATTGAGATGGCATGTAGCAAAAAATTCTGTAAAATTGGTTCTTGGAGCAAAGGAATGTGTAGAAATAGAAAAAAATATACAAAGTGTTTAAAGTTTTCTAACTTGTGTGTATTCATAATGCAATTTTACAATTGGTCTTCACATCACAAATGATTTGAGAAAGTGGTATCAGAGGGCACCTTCAGATTAAAATCTATTGTCATGTTTATTCAACCTGGAAATTGGGATTTAAGTCGCTGATAAACGTGAATGGGGTAATCAGATTGACATTGCCAAACTTAAGACCAAAACGGAATGAAAATTAGGAGGGAAGTACGAATAGCACCACAAATAATTGAGCAGCGGAGTGGTTATAGAAAGATGAAAATCCCCCCACACTCTGTATTCTCTGATGCATTCAATGTTGATTTTAGCACTGGATTAATTCTTGATGGCATTTTTGTGAATTGTGTGGTTTCTGCAATAATTCATATCTTTTTAAAACTATGATAACATTTCGATGATTTTCATATCCAACAACATCCCTGTTTCAATCCGCTGATAATTTCTTATCAACTTTCTTGAAAAAATTGAGGGATATCAATCCATTGAAGTGGCATGACCTCAATAGGAAATGCCAACACCTCAGTGGAATTTGCTGAAGAGGAGACAACCATATTTTTAGATAGTAGTGTTTAGTTGAGATACAGTTTAACTGAGTTCAGATTAACCTGCGTCTGGTGCTAGGGACCATTCCCGCTAAATATAATGCTGAGCAAAATTTAATGCAAGAATTTGAATGGACAAGTTATTTGAATGCATGTATGATTTATATGTCAATAATACAAACTATACTTTAAGACAGTTTCAATATCTGTTTTAGAAGGTAACAAAAACAATCAAAGCTACTTCACAAGGCAACCTTCGCTTCAATTTTCCGAGTTAAAGATTGCTACACATTATGTCGGACCTGAGGAAAATAATCTCTACCTTGGTAAGAAGACACTTTCCACAACATAGAAATCTTGCATAAGCACATCTCGTTCTGGTTTTGAAGTGAGGTTCCCAACAGCATAACCTATTCCGAGCTGGATAGACCCTTGAAGTGCAGATGACGGTGTCTGGAACAAAAGTAAAAATTTAACACTTTATTTTATTCATAACTTCGTCTGTGCACATGTACAATCCTCTGGAAAAGAAAAGGTAATTTACAATCAAAAACAGTCACTGAAAGCTCTCTGACAAAATTCCACTTGAAACTCCAGTTCCGTGACTGATGCAGGAAGAAGATGTCGTCACAACAAGTTATCATGTGGTTTGTACTTGACATTAATCTCCATTGCGAAAACAGAACACAAGCTTCAGGGCAAAACTAATTATCTGCAGAAGGCCATCTGTCAACAATTAACATGTAAAGTTATTCAACATGAGCTTGGAGCATAGTTAAGGCTGTAATGTAATCAAAGGATTCCGATGTCATCAGGTCACAAAACACGCAGTTGACTTATTCAACACGAACGCAACTGTGTCTTCTCTTTGATAGATAGAAAACTCAATGTACTTCAGTCTGAAGCAGCTGTCTGTTATTGGAATGCCATGAGCAGTGCAACACTAAAATTCAATCATTAAGGCTCTATGTTAAGGTGTACATTCTAGTATCTTAGTGACCGATAAAATTGATCATTCTCTTCATAGCTGTTCAAAGACATTGCTGTACACAAATTGGCTGTTGCATTCAACTGAAAAATAGTCACCACACTCAGCAGTAAATCCTGTAAAATATTTTGAGATGTCCTCTCAATGTGAAAGGTGCAATATTAACAACTTGCATTTAGATAGTGCCCTTCACATAGGACAGGGTGGTCCAACTGGCGGCCCCTGGGTCGATTTCATCCGGCCCTCCCTCCCTCCATTTTCATCTGGCCCACCCGCTCCCTCCGTAAATGTTGTTACTGTAATGGAAACACAAAAATATTGCTTATGCGGCCCGCGGTCGTTTCTCACAGAGAGCATCCGGCCCTTCGCAGCCAAAAGGTTGGACCACCCTAACATACAACAACAACTTGCATTTATATAGCACTTTTCACTTGGGGTAGCAACCTGGAGCACTTAGGATATGGTCGGAGCACCGTAAATACAAGATTATTATTATTACTTCACAAGTAGAGCAACATTTGAATCAATTATCAGTCATATGATGAGACTGTGTGCAAGCATTCAACGCACAAGAGTAAATTACCATGGTAATGATGGACGAGGAGCAACACAGTTTATAGCCAGACAAATGGTATCCAGAACTCAAACTCAGCAATTAAGCCGAGTCAGGTGATTGCTTGAGCCTATGCTTTAATATTTCAAAATGACGTATGAGACATACGTGAAAGATGAGGTAATAATTACCTAAAATGATCACTTAGCGATCCACAAAATACTTTTATACATTGAAAACGTCAGGAAAATAAATGTACTTGTGAAGCTTTATTACCAAAGCAGCATAAAACTTGAGCAAGATTAAAGGTACATCATTGTCCATTGACTAATAACAACAACAACTTGCAGTTATATAGCTCTCCTCACGCAGGGTAGCATCCCAGAGCGCTCGACAGTGGTGAAGCACGAAACTGAGCCAGGGGTAGGAGAGAGGTGAGTGTAAGCACGGTCGAAGAGGAAGTTCTTCAGGCGCAATCTGAAGATGGAGAAGGAAAGGACAAGGCAGAGTATTCCACCGTTCTGGGGGTGGTGGCTGAAAGAGCAGCCACTGATGGTGGTCGAACAGAGGACACGAGGGACATGCACGAGGGGAGGCAGCTGGTGGTGGGTTGGGGAGTAAGCAGGTTGGAGAAGTAGGGAGGTGCCAAGGCATGAAGGGATTTGAAAACAAGTGTGAGCATCTTGAAATCAATCCAGTGGAGCACAGTCAAAGAGAAAGGTCTTGAGACGGGCCTTGGAAGAAGGCAAGGGAAGGGGCGAGGCAAAGGGACTCCGAGTTGGAGTTCCAGGGGGTGGGAGCAGGAAGGCCAAAGCCTGACCGCAAATCATAGAGTGGGCAGGGCAGGGGAATATGAAGTGGGCTAGTACCTGCCAAGTGGACGAGATGGGTTGGTAAGGTTTTAGCAGGTTGTAGAGGAAGAATGGGACAAGACCGTATAGGGATTTAAAAGTGAGGATGACACTCTTGAAACTCAATCCTCTGGGGAATGGGAGGCTAGGGGACCTGAGCGAGGATGAGGGTTACCCAGGATTATCCTGTTAATCTGGGCAAAATGCCACGCTGGTCGCTGCTGAATGTATTCACCCATTCCTTCTGTGTCACAAGCTAAAGCAGATTCCTCTGTTCTTATGCATATTTCGTGGGCAAAATGCAGCAGCCAATTGCACAGGGCAGTGTCTCAGAGTCATGGATTGGGTGACCAAATTATTATTTAAAATTTTTTTTTAAAAGGATAATCGAGAAGGTAAGGTCATTGTGGGAGGTGAACCAGAGGGGTAAGAGTTCGAATGATTCTAGGACACCGGAGAGTGAGTGGGGAGCGATTTTTTTTCCAGGGTCGGTAGGAAATAGAAGTAGATTGGATAACAGGGAGAGGGATGGAGGAGTTGAGGGAGATAAAGAATGGTACGAGAGGCTTTATCAGTGACGGCGATATCAGAGACAGTGAGGCCCCGGATAATCACCGTGTCAAGGGTTCATTACCAAATATCAGTGACAATGCCGATTGCTATTTACAAAGGGCAATAGCAACAAAAAATTTTTTGGTCAGCCGGGTGTCTTGACAGATGTGGGAACCCATCACTGTGCTTAATACTATACAAACCAAACTGAGAATTCCAAGCATCCCACCTACACATGGAAATTCCAGAGATAGATTGTTGGAATGGAATGCGAACGCTCTTCCTGGAGGGATACATCGAAGTGATAGCAATGAAGAAATGCTCTGCCGGGCATGGCCCAATCTGTTTTTATGGCTGAAATGAATTTCAATGTCTTAGATGAAGAAGTGAAACAGAGTATAAACATTTGCCATCAATATTTACCTTCTTGTAAGTCTTCTCCCGAGAGTTGCCTTCCCCATTGTGCCCATTTTGCTTAACAGCGGTGTTCCGGTTTTCTGTAGTGGATGTCATCTAGAAAACAACATGCACTTTTGTTTTATAAAGAGCAAAGTTATTTAAAAATGTGTTTTCTAGATTTCAGTTAACTCACAAATCGCTGACTTTCAGGAATATAGTTAAAGAGTTACATAGAGCAATAAGACACACATTTGGCCTAACTGTGGGTTTATACTCCACACAACCCTTCACCCCTCCTATTGCTTGCTATTCCTTCAGATAAACATGTTAAACTAGTTGTGAGTGTGAAAATGAACTATTTTTGTAATGACCATATAAACAGTTGTAGGAGGTCTCTTCTCAAAGGGACCGTGTGTTGTTCAGGAAAACCGAGGGAGTGAGATGAGAGTTTAATAGCTTATCTCCATTAATAATAATAATGCTTGCATTTTTTGATAATACCACTTTATCACGTCTTTGAGACATCTCAAAATGCTTCATAGAATATACTGTAAACTGAATTGACTGTATATTTTGTGGGTGAAACGTGGCAGCCAATTGCATACAGCAGGTCCCACAAACAGTCGTGAATTGAGTAATCAAATTGTTTTAAAAAAAGGAATTATTACCCCCGGAAAAGCGATCTGCCAATTGTCTACAAACTGGGTTCCTACTTATTGCTAGGTAAACAGAGGTGTGTGGAGTAAGGAAACTTTCTCAACGTTTCACCCTGCCAGGAATCGAATCCAGGTACTTCGCGAGGCGAGTGCTCCTATCACTGAGCTACAGGACTTCACTGCAGGATGTTGGGGTCTGTCACATGCCTGGTTCTTTATTACACCTTTATCTCTCTTACAGGACATAACAGGATATAACAAGCATGACGCCAGTATCTTGCATGTTCTATTGGACATTTGCTATAAAAATATTGATTTGGTGGTTACAAGCTAGTGAAACTAGCTTCCTGAAAACACTCTTTATCTTCTGTTTCCAAAGGATATGCCGGGGTTAATTTGCAGAATTGTTTGCTCAATTTCTGGGCTGCGTAGATTCAGACCGTGCACGAATGATGTCTGCTTCAAGTGTAATCAAGGGTCATATTTGAACAACAATATAAATTTGAAAATGGAGTCTCTGAATCATCAACCTTCCCTTTCTCAGTTCACTCAACAACAAATTACATTTATCGTGCCTTTTAGTCAGGAGGATGTCCCAAGGCTCTGGGATCAGCACACATACACTGAAGTTTCATCCACAAATGCTTGGCTCTAAGCAGCTGTCATAAGCCAAGGTGTATGGATGAAGAAGGCCCTCCAATACATTTGATCTAATCCTTCCAAATTACCCACTGAATTGGCTTCCTAAAATGACAATCAATAGCCACCAAATGTAGAGCCACAACCTTTCCAATGAAGACAGATAAAACACGCACTAATGCCCAGGAGCAAAGGCTATCATTTAGCTCCCCAGTTCAGCTCAACAATTCACCAACTGGTGCAAAACCATCCGCCGAAGTCAACTATACTAATTGCACTTGCCTTCTCTTTCCAAATGCTCTTTCAATTTCTTCCTCCTCAAATGTGTATCCAATTCACTTTAAATATTACACTGTCACCCTCAATAATCACTTGGACACAGCATGTAGCTTAACGTGACAGAGACAGTGAGAAATCACACGAATAAACATTTGAAACTGCATCTGTTGCTGTTAACTTGTGCTGTGGAAATGTTCCTCTCGCACACATCTTAAAACACTCATGCTTAGAATTGCTTTAAATGTCAATTTAGGCGCAGATGCAAATCATGAGAACAAAATCCTGCCGAAGGCTTTCAAGCTCCTCACAGATTCTTCAAAGCAGACTTAGTTATACAAACAACTACATCTCTCTGTGAAAGAGAGCAAGCCAGAAGGGAAACATGTTCCACAAGAAAACTATCTTAAGGATCCACGATATTTTCAAAAAAAGACTGCCTACTTCTGCTTGTTAATAAGTACCATGGTTTTCAAACAGATTCCCTGGCACTAATTTTACTGCCAGCTACTCCACCTTCATCTTTTAATGTAATTGTAGACAGTTTAAGTGTCCAACAAGCCTCTGGTGCTCAGTCACCCAATGGGTCGGGCTTACTGAAATCCCTTTACTGAATTATTCATTACATTTGAAAGCTGTGTTTGTTTGCTCAGTGTATAATAAGGAAACCAATTGTTAAACCACACAATTTATAATGGCTGAGCAAAGTGTTGTATTGTCCTGAGCAATGAAAACCAGCAGCAACAAATTGGGTAATCCCAAAGCACTCAGTTCATCTTTTATATATCTATTGAGCTGAACCATTGACTTGCATGGAACTGGAGCATCCTAGTGCTATATGTAGGAACATTGGCAAGAGGCAATGAGTTGGGTTACAATTATTATCCTCTGAGGAGAGGTGGGGGGGAGAGGGAGATGGAAGAAGAAAGGAGAAAGAGATGGTAAGCTGGGTCTTCTTGGAGCTGAGCTGGCTCCAAGGTGACTTGCTTTACAAAAGTATGTAGTAATCAGTGAATTGAATTAACCTCTATGACGGGGCTTGTTTATCCTCATTCCTGAAAACTCATGTGTCCATCATATTACAAGACATTGCTGATGATAGGCAAGCCAGCCTGGTTCACTGACAGAACGCGGAGAGACAGACTGGTCACCGGGAGCAACGATTCTTCCACCTCAGCTCCTGTTAACCCCTACAAGTCAAAGCCACAAGGGGATGGGTAGTCTTAGCTGGACAAGCTGCAAGAAACTTGCTAGACAGTCTCTCAGTGACAAGTTGTGTGGTTTCATCTGTGTAAACTCTAGCAGTACTCATCACACACACGCTACCAAAATCAATCCCACTCCCCCACTCTTTCCCCACAGCCCTGCAAACTTAACAGTTGTTTTCTGAGGCCTTGGCTCCAGTCAATCTATATCTAATGCTCTTCAGAATTCAATAAGCAGAGTGCATTCCTCCAAGGAGAGAGTGCACATTCCATTATAGACACTGGGACATTTCCATGCGTAGATACAATACATAGTGAAACTCTGTCTGGTGTGGATGCTCTTAAGGAATGGTATCAGACATCCAGCTATCATAAAAAGGGATATTTTCTGATTAATAAGAAGTAACAAATGGTTTTCAAGGATCAGTGTTGGGGCTCCAGCCTTTCACTCATATCTGTTCGGCGTGGCGTGCGCTATATAAATCCAAGTTGTTGCTGTTGTTGTATATCAATGACCTGGATGTGGGAATGGAGGAGAGGTCAGTGAATGTGGGAAAGAGAATGTTTATCTACATTTCCAGGGACGAAGAGAAGAGTCTTGAGACAGGTCTTGAATGAGGCAAAGGGGCGAGGCCGAGGGATTGTGGGATAGAGTTCCAGAGGGTGGGGGCAGAGAGGCTGAAGGCTCACTTGCCATGATGGAGCTGGCGAGGCGGGGGATGTGAAGCAGGCTGGAGCCTGCTGAGCGGAGGTTGGTAGGAGGTTAGGAGGTCACGGAGGTAGGGAGGAGCAAGGCCATGGACAGCTTTGAAGGTGAGGACCAGGATCTTGAACACCTCTGTGTGATGGGGAGCCAGTGGAGCTGGGTGAGGATGGGGTGATAGCTACAGGACTCTAAGTAGAAGCAGGAAGTAAAAGAAGCCTGGGAAGAGAACCTGGGGTGAGTTTTACGATTGGGAGTGTTTTGAGCTAAGAATAAAGGAGTTACTTAATACACAGTTGTGGATTAAGTATTATTACACTGGCTGCTGTAGAATCCAACATTCTAAACCTTATGCAAATGTCGGTCCATAGTCCAAGCATCAAAGGAACCATAATGATCTAGAACATTGCCAATGTCAATTGCACCTGCTGTATATCCTTCAGCCCGGTTGATAACCACATATGTTTAGCTTCCTTTTAAAATGAATTAAACCAGCATAGCAGTGCCTGCTTTTGATCAAAGTCGCTTCTGCATATCTATTGCACCATGTGTCTCTGTACCTTGAGGGTGGGAAGTAACAGCTCTTCTTACATCTTGTCTAGACAAGGCTTACTAATGTGGTACCTCTATCCTCCAGTCCTGTGATCATGCTAATATGTTAACGTTAAGAATAATGTTAAAATACCAGCTTAAATCAGTTTACATCTTCATCGAAACACTGAAAAGTACAAATGAAGACACAGACCAGTCTCATTTTCTCCAAAGGAGAACACCCTCAAGTCTTTGAGCTTTGTAGAATTTGAGAGAAGGGGAAAGAGGGGAGAGAAGGAAATCAATCTAGAGTTAATAAATTGAGCTACATTATTCCATTCATATCCTGCAATCAACCATGACATGAGTCCCTCAGAAAATTAGGCTAAGGCATGTTGCTGGTTAGGATGCAACTGAACATTTGCGTCATAGCAACATTGGTATAATCAGTTTGAGTGTGTGAAGGCATGGAGTGATAAAGCAGAAGAATTAACAAGCGCATAAGGCCACAAAGGTGAGAATAAATAGTTTTTTTGAAGACTATTTATATAATATTGTACTCATGCAGCTTCCTGCTCAATGGATTTAGATTCATCTCAAAACCTTCAGAGCATCCTAAAACAAGTGTTGTGAGTCAAATGACCAACATTTAAATCTCACCAGTGTGTTCTTTTAAAGCAATATTATCACTTTAAGCATTTCCTCAGTTTTAGACTGAGTATTGCATAATAATGGGTTAGTTTCTGCAACACATATTCCCTGTTGACCAAAATTGAACATAGTATCCTTCAGGCTGTGAAGAGCAATAATAATAATTGTTGCATTTGATATAGCACCTTATCATGTCCTTGAATCGCCTCAAAGCGCTTCCTTCTTAGCAACAGGTGAAGCTACTATCAGGCTCTTTTACGTGGTTTCTTTTATCAGCAGCTTTTACAGCTTCCCTGATGATCTATTACATCCGTGGCATTTTTGTTAAAGGTAAATCACCATAAAGAACGTACGATACAATACAAATTTACACAGCACCTTTCACTTCAGGAGGACGATCCAAAGAGCTTAACAATCCTGTTGCGCCTGAATGTTCCTTCATCCAAGAACAAC